GGTTCAACGGTTCAAACCTTGCCGACTGGATTCCTTCTCCTACATCTGCATGCAGCCTTCACCTGTGCTAGCATTCGATAAATTTCTCCACCCGCCAACAACTGACTACACTTTTTTTTTCTGGTCTTTTTCAAAATTTGATGCTCCAATTTTAGTTTGTTTAGAATTTTTTGGTGTGGGTTTTAATTTAGTAGCCTCTAATTTTCAGCTTGTTTCGGAGTTTCGCTTTACTTGATTGTGTTGATGATGGCTATTCATTGATGGTAAGAAAAGAGGCATGATTGGGGTTGCATATACTGAGAAACTTTGAACTTGGTATTGATAATTGCAAATGCTTTTGGAGCTTTGCTAATTTGTTGATGATAATGCTAATTTGTTATTCATGAAGTTGTGTGGGTTTTGTTCAATTATAAGATAAAAAAACATGAAAAAGTTGATGGCTATGAAAATTGTTCGATAATTTTTCTGGGTGTTAAGAGAAAAAGCTTACTTTTTTTTGTTTCGAATCCGTCGTTCGAAGTTTCGAGCGAAAAAATGCCGAGCAAGAAGAGGAGAAGAAAGGAAGAGAGACCCAAGATCCACCCCAGAAACAAATACTCCGACAACCAGCCCGATTTCTCTCTCTTAGCTTCTTTATACCCTTCGTTTAAAGACTTCGTCTTCTACAGTCGCGAAGGCCGACCCAGAATCGACTGGACCGACTTCAATGCCACCCGCGAACTCAGCCACGTCCTTCTCCTTCACGACCATGGCCTCCACTGGTAAACCCCTCAGCTTCTTCCTTAAATATTGGCTTTTGGTTTGCATTATTCTTTTGTCAATTTGAATTGCATTTTGACAGGTGGATTCCTGATGGGCAGCTCTGCCCTACAGTGCCCAACCGGTCCAACTACATCCATTGGATAGAAGATCTTCTCTCTTCTGACATTATTCCCAAAACTAACAGCAATGGAGATAATGTGAGGGGATTTGATATAGGAACTGGAGCCAATTGCATCTACCCTCTTCTTGGTGCGTCGCTTCTGGGCTGGAGTTTTGTTGCATCAGGTAACATCTTTTGGTTTTCCGCTGTCGTTTACTTAGTTACTCTATTTATAATCCATCAATGTGCCATGTAATATTCCAGGTTGTTTTAAATATTGCTAAACTCGATTGCAGATATGACTGATGTAGCATTAGAATGGGCTGAGAGAAATGTGAAAAGCAATCCACATATTTCAGAATTAATTGAGATTAGAAATGCTAGATGCTCTCCAAACAACCCTACCCCCGAGGGGTTAAATAATGGTGAGTCTGTTTATTCTGAGGAAGGTGAAGGTTTGCTATCCTCTTCTATAGGTATGCCAGCAAGTGAAGATAAGAGTTATCATGGACCTCCCATCCTTCTTGATGTGGTAAGGGATGGGGAGAGGTTTGACTTCTGCATGTGCAATCCCCCATTTTTTGAAAGCATTGAGGAAGCGGGATTGAACCCAAAAACTTCTTGTGGTGGGACTCTTGAGGAGATGGTTTGTCCTGGTGGAGAAAAGGCTTTCATTACTCGTATTATTGAAGATAGTGTTGTGTTGAAGCAGTCCTTCCGGTATTATTATTGACATCTCCATCTCTTTTAGCTTAAGTTGTTCCTTTCACATAATGCTAACCTTTATGTTTGGGTTTGTGCTTAGGTGGTATACTTCAATGGTTGGCAGGAAAGTGAATCTCAAATTCCTAATATCAAAGCTTCGAGAGGTCGGAGTTACTATAGTCAAAACAACTGAGTTTGTCCAAGGCCATACATGTCGATGGGGACTTGCTTGGTCCTTTGTGCCACCTGCCAAGAAGATAATTTCACCTCATCTGACTGAGAAGAATATTCTTTCTTTCATGCTTGAGGTTTGGCTCTTTTCTTTAGTTTGTCTTAACAGTGTTAAATTTCTTTTGTCTACAAGCTTATTTGGATTTATGTTGAAGATTTGGAGATATTACGTGACTCTTATGTTTGGTTGATTGGCATTAAATGGATTACCTACATTAGATTTTCTGCTCTGTTTTAAGTTAGACCTTGATGCAGCTTAAAATTTAATAGTACAACTCAAAGCCAAACCTTAAAGGTTGTGAGTTTTTTTTTTTTTTTTTGAAAATAAAGGTTGTGAGTTTTGATGTTTAGAATATTAAAAGACATAAAATGAAATACATGTACTGACCTTCAGATTGGAATGAATCCAAGGTTCAAATTTATTTTCACATTAGTCAAAACATGCACAAGCAAACATTGATTCCATCTATTATGCACCCACAAATGCTTGTATGGAGATATAAACTAAATCTTTAGGCCTTCTGTTGCCTTACTTTTATCTATATGTTTATATAATGTGTTACATTTTCTTTTTCCTAGTTGTGTAATATCTCTCAGTTGAACTTTTCTTTTTTGTAGGGTCTTCAATGCCAGTTTGGTGCCATTCATGTATTGCAGTCAGTTGAATCCTTTTTCCTCACTGGCGGTGCATCTTGTAAATTGAATGCCTCTTCTTTTACAGTTGATGTAAGAAATATTACTGTTCACTTATTATTGGTCTCTTTGATTTTTTTGTGCTTACATGCAGTAAAATCTCATTTTAATAGATTACTGCATCAACTGAGCAATGCAATGCTCTCCTGAACAATGAAGTAAAACATCTCAACGAAGTTGCTAGTTGCAGTGATGTGCAAGAGGCATCCTTAAACCTGTCCTTTCGTGTTTCAGTATGGTTACCTCCTTGCTTGGCTTGATAGAATAAGTCTGCAATTAAGACTCTATACATGATTGCAATAATTTTTTTTACAGGTTTTTCAGCAAATCCCAGGCACACTTCTTGTGAAAGGATCATTACAGCATAGAGATAGCCCACTCTCAGGTTTTCACTTATTGAGCTCCTAATCTTTTCAGAATTCAATATTCTTACGATTGTGTTAAAATTTCTAATATGATGGTGTTCTGCTATGATGTTCTGTCAGCTTAATTTACCATTCACAACATTTTTTATTCTATCAAATATGAGTTGAACATATGACCATTAACTTGCATAGTTCCTGTAATTGGTTGACCAAATACTGAGGAAAGGAAAGTTCTTAGAACCTATTGCCTTTACCGGATTAGAAGACTTGTCTAGGTCAAGGCCAAATACGTATGTCAAGTTCAGTTCAAGTAGCAAGTTATAGAATGTGAAATTCTACTAGCAAGATATAGAATGTGAAATTCTAGCTCAATTTTCTTTTCAATTATATTCTTCTCAGTTAAACAGAAAGTCTAGAGAACTCACCTTAGTACCCAAATATTGGCCGTGCGTAGAGCATTTTATCTCCCACCTCATCTATGTGAGTTGTCCTATGATAAACAAAGTTATTGATTTTCTTCATACTGCCTTCATCAATCTTCTTCAATTTTATTTGATTTCTGGCCAGTCTGTTCTTTTAATTTGGTAGTATCTGTATGTTTCTCTTTAATTGGAAATGTGATGAATTTTTAATTTGATATCACTCCTTGTTGATGGCTTTGTGGCTATGATTTAAATCTACCATCCAAAATCTGTAGTTACTCTGATATCATCAAATGCCATTAGTGTAGGCAATATGATTATTAATAAAGATTTATGCTGCGTACTGAAAACAATTGGTGAAGTTGGCGAATATGCGATATAATGAACTGATGTGGGCTTAAAAGGGCTAGTCATTTTGATAATCTGAAGTTGGTTGTCCTATTCCCATCTCTACGATTTAAACTACATATTCAATATCATCAAGAATCACTAGCTTTGCACTCTTTCTTTTGCAGGATTGTTCTCCTCAATAATCCAACAGTTGGATGATGCTTTGAGACGTAAATTTTGTAGAGAAAAGGCTGGTGCCAATTATTCGTAGACTCCAAGCCTTATTCAGCAATGGAGCATTTAGATTTGATACCTTTGAAGCTCATGCTTAGGATAGTATCCAGCTCAGCTTCTACCATGACACTGTTAATATCTGATCTTCAGGGTCTTACCTTCCATGGAATTTTCAACCGGATAAAACAGTGAAAAAATTGAATATTTGTATAACCTTCTCGTTTGAAGAAAGGCTAGAAGAACATTATAGATTGTATTTTATAATGGCAAGCAGCAATTCTCGATTTTAAAGATTGAGTGTGCATCATTCTACATAACAGATCATCCAATGATTGTACAGTGGGTGTCAGCCAGACGACTTATCTTCGGCAATTTCCCTTGTCCGCCATCTCTTGTCAGTATCAGCTCTATTTATTTTCTTGTTTGTCTTGCAGTTCATTAATCGAATTAACACATCATTGACAGAGAATATTTATCAACCATTGCAATATTGTCGGCATGTTCTGTCAGTGAAACTTCGAGGAAGGGCAACCAGTAGTAGTCATTTTGAGTGCTAATTGACTAATTGCATTCAGTCACAGCTGTTCAACACTGGTTGGGCCTTTGATTGGGGATTGATATCAAATTTATTCACCACGAGATCATCTCTCAAGGATGGGGATATCTTTCAATCATCTTTTTCGATTGAGTGGCCATAGCTTTTCTGATCCACAAATCTAATGGGTTTATCTTTATACATTTTTTAACTTTTCGTCCATTTCCATTTTGAACGTCTCATTTGTTAAAAATCATGCTGAGCTAACAACTATGAAAGCCGCCATGAAAACCAGCTAATAAGTGAAATTTGAAGCTTGTTTCCATATTCTACTACATTACAAAACAAATAAATTTGCATGAAAACAAATGACTAGACAGCCAACTCCGTGGATGAAGAAACTAGTTACAAGAGAAAATATCACAAATTATTGTACAGAAAGAGAAGAAAAGGAACTTCACAAATTCATCAACACTTCCCTTCAACCCTGGCGTGTGTAAAGCCAACACAAGCATCAAGAAAATCCTCATCAATAAAATCTGTCGAGAAAATTTGCAGCCGATCAGCACAACCTTTGGAAAAGCACTGAGTAATGAACAGCCTAGCATATCCATGAATCCGGCCAGTCACTGGTTTAACACATAACACGGGGTTATCTGCCTGAGGTGTGACTGTATTCTCCACCCTGTAAAAGAATTTCCTTGATGAAACTGGTTGTTGCTCACCCAAATGCTTCATATTGCTATCAAACTTTGTCGACGGTAAATCTGTGTCTATCCAGTTGTCCTTCAGATAATTAGCACTCCAGAACGGAGAACCTGCCTTAGGCTTGGGAGACTTATTTGGTTTCCAAACGCAGATAATCCTCTTTGGCAACAATTCAGCAATTGTTTTGCCAAAGACGTGATCGTCCTGGTGGATCAGGAACTCCCCAAGTTTTTCCTCTAGGTACTTGTCAAAGTCAGGAGGATCCTGGTGCCCGAATTCAGTGCGGATCTCAAGAATTATGATCTCTGACTGTGTTTCTGACAAGAACTTCTTGACATCATTGATCACAACGTCAACGCTGTAAGTCGACAGGATTCCATGGCAAACACGACGATTCTCATTAACTCGAACATCCAGAACCCTGGTGCCTTTAACAAGCTGTTGGTAGATGGACAAAGACTGGCATTGCGCAAAAGGGCGAGAGATACACGGTATGCCAATCTTGTTGGTGGCAGAATCATGAGTTCCGGGCCATACAATCTTGTTTATATGAACCTTCTCCGGACCGAGGCCAGCCATCCAATTCTTCCTATCAGCAGGACGGTAGTCGCTACCTGGAAATGTTTCCCCACAACTGTCATGAAGGTCACACAGCGTTTTCTTCTCTGTCGAGATTGCCTTACGCCTTTCCTTCTGTTTAGACACCTGCGACCCCATTTTTCAATCAAAGAAGAAGCAGAAGATGATTGCTGAATCCTCTAAATCCTTCCTCCTCCTCTTCTTCTTGATATTTCCCTTGTTTTCCTTCTGTTTCAAGTTGAAAATTAAAAGCTTTCCTTTATGGAGTTGAATATATAGCATTATATTGTCAGATAGCTAATTTTATTGTAGGGTCGGCCTTCTTGTATTCTAGATAATAAAACTGATAGAGAGACAGATTTCTCAACGTTTTTCTATAATTTTTTTTCCTCTCAATTATCTTTGATATTTTGGTTTCATACAGGACGCGAAAACTGTCTTTTGTCTTGGTGGGCCGCTTTGATTTTCATTGCATTATTGGTTTTATCTCTTGGATTCGTCCACCTGTATGGCTGTCCAACATTGTCTAAACTTTGGTTTTTTTTTCTTTTATAGTCTCAATCCCTCTGATTTTTGCTAACTCCACGAGTTGAATGAGGGGTCGTGATCAGTGGGCCGAATGAGCTGGCACTTAGGCAATAGAAACCACAGTTCTCTCTGATGAAAGCATATCCCATTCGTCCATATTCCATTTCTGGTTCAACCACTTCGGAAAGCGAAAGCACCTAATTTATTAATCCTTTCTTTCCATTAAAGTAACCCTTGCTAACCAGAGCTTAAGCTTTAATCAATTCACTCTTCAATGATCAATGAGTAGCCACAGTAAAACAGATGTTATTACCATTCATAGAATATGCCCTCTGTAGTTGACTTGGTCCCTCTAACCGGGAAATATCCCCTTCCTGTCCGAAGGACCCAACATTCCTATTCCTTTTCACATATACTTTTGATATGGTGAGTAAAAAGGTTCTGTTCCAAAAAGACCAGCCTGCTTCATTACAGAAAGAATGAAGAACCTGAAAAAAGATGCTTAACAAACCAGCTGGATGGCCATTGGAGCACCAAGAAAGATGGCCCCCAATGGATGATTATCTGACCTCATTGAATAACGTGGAGCACACAGTGAAGATGGTAGGGGCCTACCATGTGCACAGATGATCAGTAGACTAGGCTTCAATGATTATAGAATGTTAGTAATTTCAAGCTGGACTGCTACAATGAATAACAAGACAATTAAACACGAGATTGTCATAAGATATAAGAGGCTAGCTTCAATAAATCAACGGCTATGAGGAAATCTATAACTTTAATATTTGTAATGTGGAACAAAGGGAATAAGGTAAAAAGAGAACATTAGGCTTCCACGAGAGCTCAAGCCTGCAGTTAAGCTTGTTTGACTTGACGATAAAGAGTGTTTAATCTATTCCTCAGCATATACTGAGCAGCCACGGAACGTGAAATTATGGTATTTACGTCACTACCACATAAATAATAGATTTAAGAAAGCGTGAGGCAGTTGCTTATCTAACGTGTAAAACAACAGGGGAACAAGAGGGAGAACCTCAGTATAATGCATACACCAAAGCTAAAAGGAAAAAGAGAACCGCTTCTTTAACATTGCCCAACTTCAACAAGAACATACATATAGCAACATGAAAATCAGTAACAAAAATGTTATACAAATTGTATCTGGGTTTAAGACTACTCATTGAGCCCATGCCTGTTCTAAAGAATATTTAAGGAGGTGCCTGCAGATGTGCGGGAGGGGGGTTAGCGAGGGTAGACCATCTAATGTGTGGAAAACAAGGTGAAAGGAAGGAAAGCCTCAGTAAGCCCATGCCTCTGTTTAAGCGCTTGGTCTTAAGTCCACCGGATGAATTGAAATTGGCCCATTTAATTTGTATGGAAACGCAATGCTGCCTGAAACTTTGAAAAGGGAGTATTTGCAGCTTACATTTGACAATTATGAACAAATCCAAATAATGTAGCAGAATCTCTTCATTTGTGAACAGCCGTGTGCCAAAAAATAATGCAACATGGAAAAAGACAGAGTATACCAATTTTTATTCAATTAACACTTGGATGAAACAATTGCTTACAAGGAAGCATAACATCTTGCCCGTTGTGAACAATCTAAACATTTGGAATGAAACCTCAATAGATATACGAATATCCTTGTGAAAGATTCAACTCTACAGAATCTAAAAACAATTAAACCTTTGATGCTAGAATTGCCTCCAATACAAAAAGGCTGAAGAAAAAATGATACAGACAGAAAAAATGAAAAACTGACTCTTGCGGGTCTCCCAGAAAATAATCCCAGCAAAGATGAAAGTGGCTAACTTGTACTTTCAATCTCAAACAATGAAGCATCTTCATCCAGCTGACCAGCTAACTGATCCAAGATTGAGTATATTGCTCCTTTCAAAGGGTGCAAGGTATCCGATACAGTGAAAGTGTGCACTTTATTTTCAAGTTCTATCCAACTAAGAGCTACCTCTTTCCTAACTTGTCTTTTATTCATAAGGTGTCTCACCTTCTCAACCAATTCCCACTTCCCAAGTGCGCCATATATACTTGAAAGCAATACATATGCTGTGGAGGACTGAGGCTCCAACTCAATAAGTTGCTCAGCTGCTTTTTTTCCCAGTTCTATATTTCCATGGATTCTAGAAACACCAAGTAATGCATTCCAAACCCGGCTATCAGGCTTACATGGCATCTTTTCCAGATGGTCTATCAGCTGGTCGAAACAACCAGCTCGACCCAAGAGATCAATTAAACATGCATAATGCTGTTGATCAGGAATTATGCCATAATTAGACGAAATGCATTCAAAATACCTAATTCCTTCCTGAACAAGACCAGAGTGGCTACATGCATTGACAATAACAAGAAAAGTGGTCCTATCTGGCTTCACCCCTTGTTTTACCATGTCATCAAACATTTTCACTGCCTCTTCACCATACCCATGCTGTGCCAATGCAGAAATCATTGTGTTCCACAGTACAGGATCCCCCTTACTATCCGTTAGATCAAAAATCCGTTTGCCGGCTTTGAGACTGCCACATTTTGAATACATATCAATGAGAGAACTGATAACTATCATGTTTGGCCTAAAATTAGTTCGTATCAAACAGGCATGTATTTGTTTACCATGTGTAAGTGAAGCTACACTAGCACAAGCACAAAGACAACTACTAAACGTAAACTGATCAGGTCTAACTCGACACACCATCATCCTTGCAAACAATTCAAGCGCCTTATTCCCCATACCATTTCTAGCATACCCCGAGATCAAAGCTGTCCAAGAAACTGGATTTTTCTGAGGCATCTTATCAAACAAATCATTAGCTGATTCCATATCTCCCCATTGAGCATACCCTGAAACCAAAGTCGTCCAAGCAAGCACATCCTTCACTTTCATCTCATCAAACAACCTCCTAGACTCCCCCATCATCCCACATTTCACATAACCATCAACAACAGAACTCGAAATCACCAAATTTGACAAAAACCCAGAAACGAGAACCTGGCCATGAACCTGTCTAGTAAGCTGCAATTCTCTCAACTTAACACAAACGGTCAAAACACCAGCAAAACTAAACTCATTGTATCCAATACGCAAATTCCTTAACTCCTTGTAAAACCTCAACGCTTCCTCAAAAAACCCGCTTTGAGCGTAAGCAATCACCATAGTATTCCACGAAACGACATCCCTTTCAGGCATTTGATCAAACAACTTCCTAGCAGGCTTTATCATGCCCAATTTAGCACACCCAGATAACATATTATTAAAAGAATATAAATTTCTACCACCCATTTTATCGAACACTCTGCGAGCGCCGATATAATCGCCGCAATTAGAATACATATTGATCAAATGATTGGATAAAAAAGTGTTGGGGCTTTTGAGTCCGGTTAGTTTTAAATGAAGGTGTAGAAATTTGCCTTCTTTGAGAGACTTGGTTTTTGCGCATCGTTGTAAGAGAGAAGCTAGAGTTTGAGAAGGTAAGCGAATGCCCTTTCTTGTTAACAACTCGAGAGAAGAGATTGCCTGGGAAAGGTGGCCTCGAGAATTGAGATTGAGAAAGGGTTTTATCAGACAGGGGGGTTTCTTGGAGAACCGGTTTCTGGGATTTGGACGAGGTGGGGGAGAGAGTGAGGGCATTGGAGAGAGAAACCATGTGAGAAATTGAAAGAGGAAACAAGTGATCCTTTTGTTTTCATGTCAGGTTAGCTCCGACAAGGCATTACGGTGAATGATGTGTTTACTGGGCAAATTTTGGAGTTCGCCATGTTGTGGGAATTGATCCATTTGGATCTCTATTTCTTACCGGATACAAGTTCTAAGACTTTGGGAATCAACTCTAAACTCAGTTCAAAATTTTGAATTTATACTTAGGATTATAAATTTTATGATTTAATTTTTTTAAATATATAATCAAATTCTATATTTATTATTCTATTTGTATAATATAACTATATATATATATATATATATTCACGAATATTAGTTAAAGTTTTGTTTATTATAGTTTAAATTATCACTTTAAATATTTTTAATTATAAATATTAATAAAATTTATCCAATTTATAAATAAAAATTCTAATTTCATTAAATGATATTCATATATAATGTGTTTATATTCATAATAAGTTACAGATAATTAATTTATTAAGAACGGATAGTTAATTGATGATGGCATCAGTATCGAATCAAATGAAATACTTATGAGATGAGTTACGTAAACCCAAAGATGCAGACAGTAATTCTAATAGCTAGCGTTTGTCTAGAAACTTTAAACCATGATCCTAATCGTGCCTTGAATTAAATCCAAAATTGGTATAATGTTATTAATTTAGTAAAATAAAACTTAAAAAATATATCATATTACATAATATATGTAATATTTAATCAAAACGATATAATGTATTAATATATATAATTTTACCGTCTGACATTTAGGTTTGGTTGGATCCATAGGAATGTACCAATACTGGTCATGAAAACCAGACCAATATTGGGCATGGAAAGGATTTTGGGGGTCCAGTGCTTACAGCTTACCCGTTACCCGTTTGCCATTCGTAATAGGCTAATAGCTTTACAAAAGGAAAATCTATTGGTCTTTTCGTTAAAAATTTTCCAACGACAAATAGGGCAAGCTATAAATATTTAACCTTTTAATTTCTTCCTTCTTAGACCCCAATATGGGTCTGGCTATCGTAACTAGAGGTAACTACTAACGAAGCCCAAATGTCAAACAACAAAAGATTAAAATATAATAGTAGTTTATGAGTTAAGACAAACTATTTAAAACAACTTTTATCATAATTATCAATATCTCACTATACATTACCTATCATAATGAAAAATTATACATATTGGTATTTTATATCACAATTATTGCACAAAACATGTACTATAATACATTTTTTAAATTTTATCTTATCAAATTATTAAAACTCATTTTATGTATTTTCGTCAAACATGACAAACTCATTATAAACTATTTTTTATAGTGGTTAATTTTTAAGATTTATACTTTAGACAAAAAATGCCAAGAAAAATCGAATTTTCCTTTTGAATTTTTAATCAATGAAGTAATATTAAATTTAGATATCTTGTTTTAATTTTTAATTAATAAATTAACATTAAAAATACATATCTTATTTAAAATAATATTAGAATGAAATATGTTACAATACGATATGATATTCGATATAAAAAATAAAATTTTAATACACCGTACATATCTTGATTTAATAAATATCAGTGCAATTGATGGAGAATGATGCAAAAACATAAATATTGATTAAATTTTTGTTAATTATATTTCTAAATTATCATCTTAAATATTTTTGATCATAAATATTGATGAGATGTATCTAATTTATAAAAAAAATTCTAATTTGATTAAAAAGATATCCATATATAATGTATTTATATGATAAATAAACAAGTGTTAAAGTTTATACTAGGAAAAAAAAAAGAAAAAAAGAATGGGTTAAAGTTCATATTGAATTGCTTTATTTTAAAAAAAATTTACATTAATGTAAAAAGTAATAATATTTAAGTTAATATGATATATTTTGCAAGTGAAACAAACCTTACATGTAAATGCAAATTTGGTTAATACACACTTTATTAATTTTAGTTCTTTGTATCATATGAAATTCTACATATAGTGAACATATAATTATAATCTAAAAATAGATAAAAGAAAACCCAATGTCACCGTGACAAAAAGTAATAGTTTAAACAAAACTAATATTCCGTGTACAAGTTCCTTAATGAATGAAATTAATTTTTGACAAGAAAATATAAATGGTTACTAAATTATTTCGAAATTAGTACATAACGCCACTGCATAAGAAGGTCATGTGAAGTTGCCTTAGCAGCACACTTTTACAGGCGTTAGAGGAATCTTAGAAAAACTGTAATAATATAACGTTCTAGAATTATTGCAAGAGCCAGCCACTTGGTTTAATTATAAGGACCGCTGCCTATATATAAAAGAGTTTCCTCTCTTTTATTTTGTGTTTTACTTGAGAAGATATAAAAATGCGAGTGAGTGATTCTTTGGTGAGTTAAATAAAGTTGATTTAGGTACACTTAAAGTGGGGCAAATAGCTTAAAGTCACATAATATAAAAGACTTCAGGTCATTTGTAATAGTAAATTTATGAGCAATACATACAACATTCTTACTTTATTTATATATTTTTTTAAATAGATTTGCAACCACACATTTTGTTCGGTGAGATAAATAATAAATAGCTTAAAATCAGTTGCATATTTGGCAATAACCTCGGCTTAAGCCGAACTTGATTATGCAATTATTCTTCTACTATTATGCATATTTTCAATATCTACACTAGTAATGAATAATGATGAAACAAATCTCATTATAAGTAGAGCTGTTAATATGGGTTGGTTTGCCCAGCCCGGCCCTAGTCTTTGTGGGTTGAAAAAATATGAGTTGGGTCGAGTCAGTTCATTTTTTATATGAGTTATCAAAACCTCAACTTAGTTCACCCTTTGTTAGTTTATGAGTTGGGTCGGGTTAGTTCATTTTTATTTTTTAAAAAAATTAATTTTTATAATTCTACCTAATAACTTTTTTATTAATAAAATTGTTCTATGATTTAATTCATAAATTGAATAATAAAAACATGTTACAAATAAACAAATTACACAAAATATAAATAAATAAATAAATTACATAAAATAAGTTTAAATCTTTAACACCAATACTATCTCATAAACATAAGTATATAACCAAAATAAAAATTTCAATACTCATTTATTCCTCCTTAATCTTCATTTTCAAGTAAAACATTTAAATCTTGTTTAGACAGCAATGATGTTTTAAGGTCTGAATTATTATCAATTTATCATCTAATATTTATTACCATAAAAGAAAA